TTCACTCTCAATCGCTAATTCCACCACTCGCACTAACCAATTCCCCACTCCTACTCATCGATTACCCCCACTACTCATGTTTTTTTTTAACTTCGCTAATTTGGAAATAACTTTAGCCGCTATTTTTGTCATTTGTTTTTCAGTTAATTAATGTATCTAATTAATTTTGGAGTTTTTCAATATTTCAACATTTGATGTTTTTATTTTGTTGGTAAAAAAAAGTTGCAGTAAAAAAAAAAAGAAAAAAACAAAGAAAGGGAAAGGAAACGCGAATTGTTTAAGTTTAATGTGGTTCTTAACGATATATATATATATATATATATATATATATATATATATATATATATATATATGCAATAATTACAAGCATGCAAAATTAATTATAATATAACGATTTTAATTGTATAGTTCATGCTAATAATAATAATAATAATAATAATAATAATATGCAAACGATTATATTACAATAATATCATAATTACTATGATAATATGATGAGGTGGTTTACATAAAAGAGAATCTAAAATTCTCAACTTTCAGTCATAATAATAATGCAAGTTGATATTATAGTAATTTAATATAATGATATCTAATGAAATTCTTAAACTTCTATTTTAATTTCGTTATAATAATAATAATAATAATAATAATAATAATAATAATAATAATAATAATAATAATAATAAAAATAATTGCGACAATATGTCGAATTGTCCTTTTAACTATTACCTTTTTTTCTTTCGTTTCTTTCATTTTTATCTTAAAAGCAAAACACCGTGCCAAATGGGGGTCCATTTTGTGCAGGTTAATTTTCATCTTTATTGGACTATCTTTCTTTCGTTTCTTTTCTTTTCTTTTCTTTTTTTTTTTTTCACTTAAATCTGTGATAAAGAAAAAAAAAAGAAGAAGAAAAAGGTAAAAAAGAAATTCTTGGTAAAACGAAAGACAACCACCACCACCACCATCACCATCACCATCACTACCACCACCACCGTTCTCACGAAGCTTTCTAACTTAAAAGATAAAAAGAAAAAATTTAAAAAGGTCTCTCTCTCTCTCTCTCTCTCTCTCTTTTGCTAGCTTTTGACGTCGATAAGATGAAAAGAAGAATTAAAAAAAAGAATAAAAAAATAAAATAAAATAAAAAGGAAAAACCCATTACGAACCGAGAAACGTTTAGAGAAGAAAATAATCGTTTTTACTTAAATAAATTCGCGTGAACGATCTCCGAGGAATGCTATTCTCCATAGTCTGAGAAAAAAAAAAAAAGAAAAAAAAAAGATGAAATAGGTGAATGAAGGGGAGGAGAGGGGTGGCTAGAGGAAAAGAGGAAGAAGATGACTTAAACGACTTCGGCGGGGGTGTACTAATCTGGTCGTGGTTTTAATGCGTCTTTTGAATATTTCACGAGCTAATTTTCCTGCAGGATAACCAACCAAAAAAATATTCACAAAATTGTCCAACGGTCTGCTTGAATTATTTTATTTTCCTTCTTTTTTTTTTTTGAATTTTTTTTTTTTTTTACCTTACTAATTCAACCAGACAATTTTCTTTTACTTTTTGTTTTTTTGTTTGTTTGTTATTTTATCTCTTAACACTCAAGTAGTATTTCCATTTTCATATGAAATCTAAAAATAATGACGTTGAATTATTTAAATTCATTAATTTTGTAAAAGTATTTTGTGAATTGGTGAAGAGAAGGTTTGATGAGTTTGTTAAAAAAGAAGAAAAAGAAAAAGAAAAATACTTTCTTGGTATAATTCGTGAGAACAGACACTTAAATCATGAAATTAACTGCAAGAATAGACACTGAGAAAGATATATATATATATATGTATATGTATATATGTATGTTATATGTATATAGGTTAAATGTTTCTAACTCGAATGTGTAGGAAGATAGAAAAGTATGTTAGTAGTCGTTGTTCACGTTTCCCATTTGCTATTTCCAAGGTATCTACGACACTCGATTTCATTCTAACCCCTGTGAGACTTTGCAAAATTTAGTTTGTTTGAACTTTCGTATTATTCGTCACTGAGTTAGTTAGTTCGTACGATCATTCGTTCTTTCGTTATAGTTCCTTTTGCTAACCTAGGAACCATTAAATTAATTAATTGTCTGGAAAATATCCTTTCGTTTAATGCAACTATCATATTTAATATTTAATATTTAATATTGAATTATTATCTGAAAAGTTTTTAGATCAATTCATTCAAATCATTATCAGATAAAGATCATATTCTTTTGTATATAATATTTATCTTTTTTAAGTATTTAATAATTTAATAATTTAATATTTATTATTTCATAATTTTATCATTTAATATTTCATAATTTCTAATCTTATATTTTAATATTTTATAATCTAAAAATTTATAATATTTCATATTTCATAATTTAATATTTTATATAAATAATATATTTCAATTTTTATTATTATTTAAAGTATTTTTATTTTTTTACTAATTTAATATTTCATAATTTATACTTTAATAATTTAATATTTCATATATATATAATATATTTCCTGTTTTCTATTATTTTAAGTATTTTTATTTTTTTAAGAATATAATATTTTAATAATTTAATAATTTATAATATTTAATATTTCATAATTTATAATTTTATAATTAAATATTTTAATATTTTAATAATTTAATAATTTAATATTTAATATTTTAATAATTTAATAATTTAATATTTAATATTTTTTATAATCTATATTTTAATAATTTAATATTAAATATTTCGTAATGTATACTTTAAAATAAATATATATAATATATGTTTTCTTTTTTATTATTATTTAAAGTATTTTTATTTTTGTAAAAATTTAATAATTCATTAATTTATAATTTTATAATTTAATATTTCATAATTTATACTTTAATAATTTAATATTTCATATAATACATATAACATTTTTTATATTATTTTTTTTTATTATTTAAAGTATTAAAATTACTCAACCAATTCTTGCCAATTTTCTACGAGATAATAATAATAATAATAATAATAATAATAAAATAATAATTAGCAATTAATTTTTAAATTTACTTTTCAAAATTTAATCTTTAAATATAATAAACAAATTAAAAACGATTAAAAAAAAAAAAAAAAGAACGATTGTAAAAAGAATAAAAGGGAATAATAACAAAGACTAGTACTATATGAATTTCTAATAATAAAAGTTCATATCAAATACTACAGAGTTAGTCAGTAAATTATTTATTTATACGATTGGGGACATACTTTTCAACGAAATGAAACTTCTTCCCAAGTGACCAATATCACAATCATAAATCAATTACACACACTACAAAAGTCTTACTTACTTTTTCCATACAATTTTTCATACTTTCATTCTAAAAAAAAAAAAAACAATTTTTTTGTTTGAGCCTCAACGGGTATGAGAAGAAATTTTTGTTTTATTTTTAATTGAAAATATTTCCATTTCATTCGTTCGTATTCATTTTCTCAGACACTTCTCACACACTAATAAAAAAAAAAAAACAAAAAAAAAAACCAAAATACGTTAAACCAACCTAAAAATCAAAAACAGAAACTAAAAAATGGTGATGGTGAGTAAGATTAGATTATTCTTATCGGAAAATGGTAAGTCTATCTGGTTATTTCTGGTTGTACCAATGATAACGAATAAAAATGAAGAAAGAGGTAGAGTAAAAGAAGAAGAAGAAGAAGAAGAAAAAAAAAATAGAAAAGAAAAAAAAAATAGTGAGACGGAATGATAAAAAGGGAAAAGAAATACGAGGATAGGGTACTCCTCTCTTTTCCTTATTCGTTCTTTCCTTTGTTATAATGGAACTGTCTAGCTAGCTAGCTAGCTAGCTAGCTAGCATGCGTTTTGTTCAACCAACGAACGCGAAACATACCCCTAAGGCTTTTGCAGATTCTTTCTTTATTCAATGCCACGTTATAGTCGCATGAGCGTGAACGTGAACGCTAGAAGTATGCTTGCAAAACCTACTCTAATTCGATTTCTTTTCTTTTATTTTTTTTTTTTATCTTTTTCTTTTTTCTTCTCTTTTCATTTTTTCTTTTTTTTTTTTTCTGAAATTTTTAAGACATCGTGAAGAAGAAGAAAAAATATGCAAAACAAAAGAAGGATAATAAGAAGTTGGCAGTTTTTCGTTTATTTTATTTTTTATTTCTTTTATTCTTTAACGCATTTTTCGTACCGTCATCTTTGCAAAAATTTTTTTNATTCGATTTCTTTTCTTTTATTTTTTTTTTTTATCTTTTTCTTTTTTCTTCTCTTTTCATTTTTTCTTTTTTTTTTTTTTTTTCCTTATTTTCTAGCTATTTCTTTCATACCCACACACACACCACCCACCCACCCTGGTTTTATCCTTCAAGCTGCATTTTATTTACTTCTTTTTTTATTTTGTTTTTGTTTTTGTTTTGTTTTGGGTTTACTTTTAAAACATGGTCCTACACATTTATTTTATTTCGTGCAGAAATTCTCTCTCTGTGGATATATTTTTAAGTATTATATACATGTATATATATATATATATATATGTTATGTATACACGTGATTAGTTAGGTTAGTAGAATACTCTGTAAACTTTTAAAGATGTTTTCTAGCACAACTTTGTAATAAATCCTTCGTTACAAATAGGGTTTTACGGATTTTTATTACTTTTTCCTTTTTTTTTTTTTTAATCTCTGTAAAATATTTCACATACGCATTTGTTTCTTATTTCAATTTATGAGTCTACGAAAAATTTAATCAATGCACGAGTCTATGAAAAAAGAATACTGTTATAATGTTATTATAATATTAATTTTACTTTTTTTTATTTATACGCGCCTGTAAGAATGCAACCCTCCAGACACACTAAGAAAATGTTGCTTGCGAGCGTCATCTGTCGGAACGGAATTTTTGTTCTGCCCGAAAGATAGGCAACCCGTCATACATACTTGTATAAACAGTTTTGACTGAAAAAAAAATTCCGTTCCAGTAGCTGGAGCTCGCAAGCAACATTTTCAAAATCTGTCTGGAGGGTTGCATATCTACAGGCGTTATATTTTTCTAAATAATGATAAAAATTAAACTTTTACTTTATAATTATTTATGCATATTTTTCGAATAATATTTAGTATCTTATATGAAAAGTAAATTTTGAAAAATTGAAATTATCCAATGTTAAACATGTAATGGTCGTAGTAAAAATAATAAAAGATTAAAAAAAATTATTCATAATTTTATTGGTGAACGATCATCCATGACTTAAAATCATATACCAATATGAAAAAACAAATAAAACTTTTCGTAGAGATAAAAAACAACGTTGACAAGGTTTACAATAGATTAAAACAGATTATAGAGAACACTAATAGAATTCCAATTGAAATTCTTTTTTTGCTTTCTTTCTTTCGTAGATTAAATCAAAGTTTTAGAGGTTAGGAAAAAAARAAAAAAAAAAAAAAAAAGATTAAATCGATCAACGAAATTGACGAAACTAAGTCGAAAAGTCATTTGGTTTTTGCCGCATGTGCCAATGACCAATACCACCACTACAAACAACCACCAATACTACTACAAGAATGAAGTATAACAAAAAATGTACACATAGATACACACAAACAAAGAGGGTTTAATGAGCTCGAGAAGCTTATGAGGGACAGCCATCATCTACTTTAGTTTACTTTACTTTACTTTACTTCACTTGACTTTATTTTATTTTACTTGACTTTATACTTGTTTCTACAATATTGTAGTAGTATTAGTAGTAGTAGTAGTAGTGTGATGCAAGTCAAACCGTAAAAGGGGGTTGGTTATACAGTTGCGCATGCACGCTCCTATGCCCGAGTTCTTAATTAGAGCGTTCAACTCTCACTTCGATATTGGTGATCTAAATTCGTAGTCAACCTTTTAAAGTTGGGTTTAGAATACGACATGCATTTTACACGTATATA